TTTCTCTTATTAAGAAAAATGCACTAAATATTCGTATCTCGGGAACTAATCATGCGATCGGCTCCAAATTTAGAAATTTACGACCGATGGATGGTCAGATGAAGGATGCTCTTTGTTCTAGATGGATTGGCAAATTAGATGATTAATTAGCATAATGAATAAAAAAGCGCCACTACGCTAATTTCACCCCTCGCGAATGGCCTTGACGATTTCAACAGTCGAGCGAATACCATCTCCCCCCTCCGACACCCGTCGCTTTCCGAGTCGAAGGCCGTCAACGAAGAGTTAGGAAGGGGAGATAAGAGTAGTAGCGCTTTTTTAATGAACCTGCTAATTAGGCTCCTAATTAGCAAAACAGTTTACAATCAACGCTAACGTTCATTTGAGCATCCGGGAAGTGCAAAATTCAAAATTTGAAAAAAATCGGTCGGTTAGATCGGGAGATACGTATTTTTGGTGCATTTTTCCGACTCATTTAGTTTAATTAAGGAAAATTCGTAATTTGGGAACCAATCATCCAATTTTCTTGAAATTTCGAAACTTTTAATTCGCGGATCTTCAAATGACGGATGCCGTTTGTTGCAAGTCGATCGGCCAATTAGAAGCTTAATTAGCGGCATGACCGAAAATGCTCCAGTACCTTAATTTCGCCCCTTGCCGCGGAGAAATATCCCTTTCATAGGGAAAAACCCAACAAAGAAAGCGAAAGAAATGCCAAAAACGTAGGGGAAAATGCAGTTTTTAATTAATATCTCGGCTAATTAAAGTCGCACGAAGATGCCAATGGTCAATATGGCGAGATACGGGAATTCTGAATCCAACGGTACCTTCCGCTAAGCTCTCCATAAAGCCGTTCTTGAGAAGATGAGGTTACAAACACAACAGACGCGCACAGATTTTAATAGTATAGACTAGCGGGCAAGCCCGCCAGCTGAGCGGGCTGAAGCCCGCTTTTCATTGTTCTTTTTTGAAAGAGTTCGCATATTAAAATTCGCAGTTTTCGAAAGTTGAACCGATCTACCAGTGTCCAGCGATTTTAACTGGTTTATATTCCAGTATGCATCCATAAGGTACTGCACACACCTTACACATGCGGAAAATCACGAAGACACCCATTCAGCCACCCCGTTCCCCGGGATTCGAAAGTTGACCGAACTACCAATGTTCATCGGATTTGCGCGGGCTTCGCCCGCTTTATTATCGCATGCATCCAGAACATACCGTATGCACGATACACATGCGTATAATCACGCAAACACCCGTGGAGTCGGCCCGTACCCCGGGAATCGAAAGTTGGGACGAACTACCCGTGTTAAGCGGTTTCGCGCGGGCTGAGCCCGCTTTATTCACTTATGCATCTAGAAAATACTGCATGCACGTAACACATGCGGAAAATCACAAAACAACCCATGCCGCTTTCGTTGGCCCTTTATTCGAAAGTTGGACCATTGTTCGTTTCTAAAAGAGTTCCCATATTAAATTTCGCCGGCAATCGAAAGTTGGACAGGACTACCAGTGTTCAGAGGTTTTGCGCGGGCTGCGCCCGCTTTATTCACGTATGCAGCCACAAGATACTGTATACACGATATACATGCGTAAAAACACGAAAAGACCCATGCTGCTAGACATGGCGCACTTATAAACGATTTTGAATAATGCAAATTGATACTAATTCACACATTCAAACCGCACTGAGAAGTAAATTAAAGTCAGCACAATACTAATTAACAAAGTAAATAAGTGCTTAATGAATGATACTATTTGACTTACTCATTGAATAACAGCAATTGCTTAATGGATAATCCAGTTTGATACTAATTGATGCATTTAAATAGCATTATGTATCTTATAATAGTGACAACGCAGTAATTAATTGTGTAATAACACAGTAATTAATTGCTTAAACAACGATACTAACAAAAGCAGTAAATGATTAGCTCAGTATCATTTTATGATTTTTTCATTCTCGCAACTAATACTTCTTACTGCGAGCAAACCTTTTTATCTTAACTGTAACTGTTTTCTGCACGTTTGTTTACATTTTTTAAGCGTGGGTTCTGAGGTTATCCAGTTTCGGTAGTAGATGGAGATAAAAATGCCTTATACTGAAGTGATCCCACTGCTCGCTTTCAAATCATAAAGTTAATTAATAAACAAATGGTAATTTTGTACAAAATGTGCAATAAAAATAGCATTGCCCAACGTTAAACGTAATATTATTATTATATAAGATCATAGTATTCTGATGTTGAAGGAAGTATGCATCTGCATGTGGCTTCATTGTGTAGCCAAAATTTTTTTTGTTTATGTCACCAATTTAAATCAATAGCTTGTTTTTTTTTTTTTTTTTTTTTTGTTTTGTTTAAGTTGAAAACAACCGTTCAATCTTCGTCAAATTCTACTCAAAATGTGAGTGAGAAGTGTTCCTATATTTTAATGAACAGCAAAATATGGTAATCTTTGTTGCAAAATATTAAATGTAATGAATGCTACAATTCCCAAGATGTAATTTCAAAGGAATGTTTGGCTATTGAACCAAGATCGAACTCATTTGCAAATTGTGTGAACAGGTGTTCCGTTCAACATTTTCTAGCCCACGTGCAAAAGAATCTAAATGTTTTGATACAAATAAAAAACGTGTAAATGCATTTCTAAAAATTGGGAAAGGTAACGCTGCTGAAAATATTTTCTATGGCTGTTGTTATTCATTCAATACGAAGAGGAAAAAAAAAAAAAATCAAGATGACATCCTTCAAATTGCTCGAAACATAGTGCGAAAGAAGCATGAAGAATTAAATGTCGACCTTTTAAATAAATCAGTTATCGACATCAGTTTCATGCGATGGGACATGGCATAAACACGGTCATACGTCACTGAACAATATTCCAGTAGTTGTAAATGTTAGACGGGACTTGTAATCAGTTTTGAAATATGATCAGAATATTGTGCCGATGTTAGTACTAAAAGGTGTCTTTGCGCAGTTAATGCTGAATTTAATGTTTGGTTTGAAAACCATACGTTTGAATGTGAAAATTAACACCCATGCAGCTAGCCCGTTCGCCAAGATTCGAAAGTTGAGTCGAACTACCAGTGTTCGGCAATTTTACAGCTCAGCCGCTAATCGCAAAATTTTTCGGGTACGATATTCCAACAGTAGATTTGTTATTGAAATTCCTTTTGGTAAACTTCAAAAGAATCACACTGTTAGTGTTAAGCGGTGTTGCAGTATTAAAGTATTGAAAAGTTGCAGCACACAAAATTATTAATGCAGTTTGATATATATATTTGTGTGTGCAAAAATGATTGCAATGAGTGAAAAATGTATTTGCATCTGAAAAGAAAAAAATTATAGGTTCCATGTACACCTGAAAAAATAATTCTATGTGAATCAGATAATAATTTTTAAAATCTACAGACTCAAGTATGGCAGGCAGATGGGCGAGCTCCGACCACTCAATTCATTGGTGGTGTCTAAAGTAGTTTCTATGTGAAATTTGCGGAAATATTTTGTATTTAAAAGAAAAAACAAAAATAATTTTTAAATCTATATGATCTACTTATGTTTGTAAGACAGAACTTTGTGAAAGACGTATTACACTCATTACAGGCCTATGCCTTGAGTATATTAATATCATGCGAAACAAATTTCACCTGTTTATATTGCATTTAAAATAAATAAGAGAAAATCATTTTTAAAATCTACCGAGTAAGTATTCCGAATGGGCGAGGCTGCACCCACTCAATTCATTGCTGGTGTTTAAAATAGTTTGTGTGAAATTTGTGGAAATATTTTATATTTAAATGGAAAAAAGAATCATTTTAAATCTATGATTATTTAAAATATACATACAGTACAAAGTCTGTAATCCGGACTTGTCGGGACTTTGGCGATTCCGGATTTAGGGGTTTGTTGTGAATTACAGATCATCAATTTAAATCTGGTAAGATGGCATGCAGAAATTGTGAAATTAAAAATATGAAACCATAATTTATATGAAATAAAGAGAAATTATGATCTAAAGGGTATCAAAATTTAAAAAAAAATGCTTAACATTTATTTTTTTACTTTATTAAATATTTCTTTCAATATAAGTTGTTTAATTTGCTTTGTTTTATGTGCTAATACTTTCTCTTTAATTCTATAAACATACATAATTTCTTGTTCAGTTACAAAGTTCCGCTGTTCAAGTTCTGTAATTGCTGTGCCGTTATGGACGCATGGATTAAAGACTTTGTACTGTACAATGAAAATTGTTTAACATGAAACTGAAAAGACTGAAATATTTTTTCGTGTTGAAGGATATTGAAGGAAAAAAACATATTTTCAACAAAATTAAGTTTATTAGAGTACATTTTATTTACATAGATATGCATATGGGCATGTAATTAATAAAAAAAAAATCAATGAAACTAAAACATCCACAAGAACTACATTATTCATTTCCTTTTTGTCGTTACAATCCGCATCAATGACATTTTTTTAGCTTTGAGCAAACTCACTCCAAAATGTCTGCCATAATTGGGAATTGGGGGTGTACACACATTATCATCAACCACTGAAACGGATTCTTTGGATAACACAGTAGGACAGTCCATTAAAATATTTTACTCTACCTATGTCTATAAAAGAAACATCTTTGTGAAAGACATTACACTCATTAAAGGCCTATCCCTTAAGTATAATTAAATATCATGTGAAACAAAATTTTTTTATATGAATGAAATCAGTTATCGGTAATAAGTTCAAAGAAAAAGACAAAATAATTTTTAAAAATCTACCGAGTAAGTACGCCTAAACGGCGAGCTAAAATCCGTATTCATCTAAAATGTTTTAAAAAAATAATAATAATAAATAAATTAAGTTATAAGTTTATACTGAACTCAAAAACTTGCACAAAAGACATTGGCGGGCTTTTGACGGCATGAACTGCCTGACACCTGGGGTATCTTCTGCAACCTCGCCAGAACGGTGAGCTACAATCCGTATTTATCTAAAATGTTAAAAAATAAATAAATAATAAATAAAATAAATTAGTTATAAGTTTATACTGAACTCAAAATCTTGCACAAAAGACATTGGCGGGCTTTTGACGGCATGAACTGCCTGACACATTTACATGTTTTACATGTGAAATTTACATGTTCTATGTACACCTGAAAAAGAAGTATTTACAAGTTGGTGTGGATGTTTATGTGATTGAAATTAGTTCCATAAATACCTATGAACATCTGAAAAGAAACGTATAAAAACATTTTAATTTAAATCAAATCATTTCTATATACACCTGAAAAAAATATTTTTATGTGATTGAAATCAGTTCCATAAGTACCTAAAAAAGAAAATACATAAAACTTTTTAAAATTAATGACCGCAGTTGCATGTAGACCTGAAAAGGAAAATTTATAAAAAATATTTACAACATTGAAAAAATAATACAACTCCAAATTCTACTTTGTAACGACAGACCTAAAACCGACTAATGCATAATTCTCAAACTGTTTCAGCTTCATCTTGACTTGCTTCAGTTTATCCTAATCATCCAAAAATCTCAAACTTTTTTAGTTTTACGTTGGCTTGATTCACTTCAATTTGTGTGCAAAAATCTCAATGTTTCATCTTCACAGTGTTGAGGAATTTTTTTTTTTTTTTTTTTTTTTTTTTTTTTAACTGCAGAACCTCTCTGTAAACAATATTTCTTGTGAATACTTTAGAACATCCAGGTATCAAACGGCCTTGCTTCTTGGTGTCTTTCACTAAAACAGAAACATTCCTCATAGATGAACATCTTGAAAAAGCTACGTAAAGCATTCCATGACTGAAAACCGGTTGCGGTAAATAAATTCCAACTTTCTTCAGCGTCTGTCCCTGTGACTTATTAATAGTCATACAAAATGCAAGCCTGATAGGAAACTGTCTTCGCTTGAGCTGAAAGGGGAGGTTTGAATCTGAAGGTGAAAGTTCAACACGTGGAATGAAAACTCTTGATCCAGCATTCTGTCCAGAGATGACTTCACAATCTAAAACGTTTTGCATAATTCTCTTCACAATGAGCCTTGTTCCGTTGCAGAGTCCAGCCGATGGATTTAGATTCCGTAGAAGCATAACTATAACTCCAAGTTTCAAATTCAGACAATGAGGTGGCATTCCAGAAGGCGTCAGGCTGTGGATGAAATCCAGCTGATACGTGTCTTGTTCTTCTTCGTCATCGCAAATAACGGAGTCTGCACTGTAGAGTGTGAAAACTTGACCTGGAAACTTGGAAAGAATTTCTTCATTAAGTTTCAGAGCTTCCTCATTCTTTGGACATAAAATTGCTTTACTGGCCAAGTCTTGTAAGTCGAATTCACTACCGCAACCAAACATTTCTTCTACTATCGATCTGTTTACCACACACAAAGATGGAATTTCGATAATGTCTTCATCCAAGCCACTGTCATTTTTAAGACGACCATCTCCCAACTGTAGAAGCCACTCTGAAAACTCTTGTTCTTCCGGATGCAATCGCATATTCGTAGAAAGTGTGCACTGTTTGAAATGTGACCACAAAAAGGAATTTCTGAGGCAGCTCTCGATCGCAGAAGTTCGGTTTCCGTGTGCGATCACAGGTAATGTTTGTCTCCAGTCACCTCCTAAAACTAAGGTTTTACCGCCAAAAGGAACATCCAGTCCGGTCAAGTCTCTCAGTAATCTGTCGACAGCTTCCAAAGCGTAATGAGGCGTCATGGTGCATTCATCCCATATGAAAAGTTTTGCAGTCTTCAAGTACCTTCCTTCAGCACTATCTTGTCTGACATGGCACGAAGAATTTTCCAGAATCGGAACGGGCAACTTGAAAGTAGAGTGTACAGTTCTTCCACCGGTCAACAGCACAGCAGCAATACCTGTCCACGCAACGGGAACGGCAACGTGGCCCATTCCCCGAACAGCATGAAGGATCGTCCTAAACAGGAAAGTTTTTCCAGCTCCGGCAAACGCATTAACGCAAAATGTCTTTGGTGTGTTAGGATTCTCATCTTGTACAGCTTCCAAAACCGAGTCGTAAACAAATTTCTGTTCAGGATTCAACATCTGGTTCAACACTTGGGCTTGTTCGCTTTCATACTCGACATCGAACTGCGGGACGTCGAGAGAAACAA